TTAGTGCTAAGCTAACCAGCTGTGGTGCTCCGAAGCAGTGATTCCTGTGCGAGATGTAATTTTACTGATAAAAGTAAGTTTTTTTCAGTTTTCTTGTAAAATTTTAGCGTTTTTTGTAAGCGTTTTTTAAGAATTCTATAAACATAATATTGTGAATCATACGGTTTTCAAAAATTGCATTTCTTTACAATTCATTTGGTGGTAGAATTAGCGCGCAGCGTTTTCTCATAACCTAAAAGCGTTAAGTGTATTTTGAAGAGGACTTTGAGCGTAAATCGTACTTTATTATACATCCTAATTCGTACCGGTACAAATTAGGAATACGAAATGAAATTGTTTTCATTTTGGTTTTAACCAATCAATTTCTGTTTATACATATTTGTTAAGTTTTTAATTTTATCATTTTATGAGAGGAAAAAATAAAAATAATTTTTTTTAGCACACAATGGGAAAACGACAATATAATAAATGGTCTATGGAAAATATGAATGCAGCAATACAAGATTTTAATAATGGGAAATTAGGATTCAATGAAGTATGCAGGACATATGGTATTCCAAAACCGACCTTTCGACGTCATTTAAAAGGTCTAATTTCTCAGAAAAAAATAGGAAAACCAAGCGATTTGACGGAGCAAATGGAGACCGAATTGGTTCATCACATTTTGGATTTGGAGTCTAGATTCTTTGGGTTAACTATCACAGATTTAAGACATCTAGCATTTCAGTTGGCAGAAAAATACAAACTTCCGCACCGATTTAATAAGGTGCAAGAGTTAGCCGGTTGGAAATGGTATTACAAATTTATGAAAAACCACCCAGAAATTGCCTTAAGAATGCCTGAACCAACATCAATGGCACGATGTAAAGGATTTAACAAAAACATTGTATCAGAATTTTTCGACAAATACGAAAAGATTCTAGAAGATTTCCAATTTGGACCTAACGAAATTTTTAACATGGATGAGACAGGTCTTAATACCGTTCATAAGCCTGCTAAAATATTAGCGTTAAAAGGAAAACATCAAGTCGGAGCAGTCACTAGCGGAGAACGTGGAATTAACACTACATGCGTTTGTTGCATGAATGCTAGTGGAGACTTTATTCCTCCAATGTTCATCTTCAAACGCAAAAGAATGACGGATATCCTTAAACGTGGTGGCCCGCCTAAAACGCTGTACACTTGTTCTGAGAGTGGGTGGATTGTCGCTTCAATCTTTGTCGAATGGTTACAACATTTCATAAATCATTTAAAATTGGAAAAACAATTGAATCATAAAATTCTATTAATATTGGATGGACATACCACACATACTAAGAATCTAGAAGCCATAAACCTTGCTAGAGAATACGGTATCGTAATGTTTTCTTTGCCGGCGCACACAACACACAAACTACAGCCTTTGGATAGATCATTCTTTAAGTCATTAAAAACTAATTTTAACAAAGAATGTGCAGTTTGGATAAGAAATCACCCTGGTGAAACATATCTGAAATTTTGGGAGTGGCATATCCTAGATCGGTTTGTATGGACATCGCTATGAAAGGTTTTGAAACTTGTGGATTGTGGCCTTGCAACAGGCATCGAATACCAGATGAAAAATATGTCGTGCTCGATGAAAATGAAATCCTGGTCCTTCCACAGCGAATGTTTCTTCAAATGCACACGATCAAACTGACGCATCCATCCGCACGGTTATTGAGAATTTGTCACAAATATATCGACTTCCACCGCAAACATCTAAGAAAACAAGCAAGGCCGTAGTCCGTACTGAGAGTCCATATAAAAATATGTTAGAAAATAAATTAGATGGACCAACAAAACCAAAGAAACGCTCTTTAATAGAAAAGAATTCTAATACTTGGTATTGCATTTTATGCCGCAAAGATGAAGAAAAATCAATGATTCAATGCATCAAATGCAACATATGGGTGCACGACAACTGTGCAGGTGTAGGAAAAGCCACATATTCTTACACTTGCCAACATTGCATCAGAAGTACGATTTAGGAATAGTGCGGTACGAGTTAAGACATATGGTCTTAAATCGTACTTTTTTCATTATTTTTTAAATATTTTATTTTGATTAGTAAAACAGGGTTTCTTTAAGTATTAACACATGTCTAATGTTTATTCTATTAAAGTTTTAACAACCAAAATTTCATAGTGTTTGATGCATTTTTGAGAAATCTACAACAAGTTGTTCAAAACTGTTACGATTTGGGCAAGTTTACCCTACATCCACAACATATGTAATGGTTGTTTTTTTCCGATGTATAGAACTTTAAGTTGGCATAACTGTTCAAGATGGTGACCGATTTGACAGCTGTCAAGTGATTTATTCTCGCACAAACAAAACTGCCGCATTTGGAGCGAAGCTAATCCTCAAGTGTATGTCAAAACACCGTTACATCCACAAAAACTGACTGTTTGGTGCGCTTTATGGGCTGGTGGAATCATTGGTATAGAGCTATGATTACTAACTCATTCATCCCTGAATTGAATAACCATGATGTCGAAGAGATGTGGTTTCAACAAGACGGCGCAACATGTCACACACCTCGTGCCACAATCGATTTATTGAAAGACACGTTTGTTGACCGCCTAATTTCACGTTTTGGACCTGTGAATTGGCCTCCAAGATCTTGTGATTTAACACCGCTAGTAGAGATATGTATAATAGAGGCTTCCCCCACTCCTCTCCCTTTTGTGGGCGTGTCCTCCTTCCCCACGACTCTTTAGCTCCTCCCCCTTTACCCATAATCCCTTGAAACTGGCCCCCATTGGATAAGCAACCAGAAATGCGGTTTAATCAATCTCCCCACCTCTAGTTTGCGATGGCGGCGAAGCCAATCAGAGCCCAGATATTTTCCCACCCGTATGAAAAGCAATGGCGTCAATGAGACTTGATCATATTGTTCGCGTGACCATCTGCACCCTCTAGCGGTTCGAATGTAAACTAGTGTCCCCTCTTGGAATAAGATTTTCTTTAATAAGGTAACCCCACCTAGTGAATATTGACCAAAACATTTATTTTAAAAACATATAATTCTGCGAATGTGTACCCTCGCGGGTACAAACTGTACTTTTATTGCGCACAAAGGACAGGGGAAATAAAGACGAAAAGTATTGGATTTCTTTTCTCGGAACTGGACGCTGGCAGGCACCACCAATAATATCTGCAAAACAAAAACCTGGTTAAAATTTTCATTAATAAAGTAGGATATTAGAAACCATATACATTATTAATTTACTAAGCCATCTACCGTGCGTTAACTTCATACATATTTCCGCATGCTTCTGTTTTAAGGTATCGTGAGATATTTGACTATTTATCTGGGAAAAGTTCATATGTCGAAAATATTATGTGTATGTGGCCGTGGTAGGCTTTCTTTGCTATTATAATTTTATTTTTATTATTTAATATTTACAAAATTAATTTATCTATCTTATTGATAATTTTGATTTTCTTTGCTATTTTATTATTTGTTTTTATTATTTAATATTTTCAAAATTAATTTATCTATCTTATTGATGATTTTAAGATATCGCAGTCAACTTTACTATTTCATCAATTTCTTTTATTTATTGCTGATCTTTGAGGATAGTGTACATACTTTTTTTTTTCGTAACTTATCTGTATCTACCCTTTAATTTCCTATCAAGCCATAAAGCAAACTCGAAAGGCATCTTAACTAAAAAGTCATATACTTTAAAGCTGCTGCTACTACTACATGAAAGTGTGTTTCTATGGCAATTTCAACAACAATGAAATCTGGACGCTTATACTAAATACTGTAATACTCTTCTCTGCTAACGCTCTAGGAGACGCTATTTGAATCCTGTTCAAAGAAAAACTTCTACAGCCCAAATAACCTCTCTGAACCACACTTAAGCGCATCACTCTTTCACTGTCTTGCAGCCTTTAGATTAATATTCCGTACTAACTACGAATGCCATACACGAAACGTTCTCTTTCTAATTTTTTTCTATGCGCTACATTAACGAACAGGATCTAAACTTTTCTGTCTGTGTATTTTGTTAGCCACCTTAAAAAAAATAAAATAGGTATGCGAACCTAGAGGATATTTTCCATATTTTTCACAAATGGTGACAACAATTAATGCAAGTATTATTTTTAATAATAATCCATCTTTCGCTATGACACGAAAACATCGATTTTTTAATTCTAACTTTTCTCATAGAGCTTCCCTTTAGTCTCTATCTGTTCTTTAACTAAATCCCCGCCTTTTTGAAAAACCAACCTCTAAAAATAGTTAATTTTCTCTAATTTAAATTTGTACGTTTTACGCAATATGTGTGAATATTTTTGCTAGAGCATTTAGTTACTTAGTACGTGTCCTAATCAATATTTTAAAAATATAATTCTAATGATACGTGTTTACGATTTGAAGATAACGAAACATTCCCCAGTTTTATAAATGAGAGCTCACCGCCAAACTACCAAACATCACAGTACAAGCTACCGTACTACGCCCCCCTGGACAAAATCAGGTTAGTCAGCGTCATTAATTCTACCTGCGTTAACGAATAGCGTATTGTTAATTAAGGTTTAATACGCAGAAAGTTTAAGTAACAAATAATTGCAATGAAACTCACTAACATCATAAATTATTTTAAAAAAATTAGAACAGTTGGAATTTACTGGAGTAACCAATTTGGCACTAAAAATGGAAATTTTCGATACTCTACTTGGTGCCTACAATAAATTTTACTATTATTTTTAATGCAGAGACACAACGATTTTCTAGTTCTGAATTTGATCAGGGGTATATGACCATAGTTTACGCCGACTCTAAAAGGCATGCAGTCTATTGTTTTTGAACGCCCCATTTTGTGTATTATGTTCAAAACAGAGACTCTCTGGGCTTACGACTACAGCTACCAGCTACCACTTTCAATAATATTAACACAAAAAAAGTAGGTGGCATTTCTATAATACGTGCAAAGTTTATGTGAAACTGACTGGAAGACAGAGTAATGCACCAATATGTTACTAAACATATTTCGATAGAATTCCGTAAGAGCTTACCTCCAAGTTTCCTCATTTAGTCAGTCAAAGCATCAAATGGGAAATTCCAATCCAACATATGTAGTGGTGGAAATATATTAATCGCCTACGTTACCGATGGTACCCGACTGAAGCTTCTGCGTCTTCTTTACCCCACATGCCTACTTAAAAAGATACTGGTCTAAGTCTCAATATTCCTGTTAAAAAAAAGAGAGGTTCTATATTGCCATAAATATGTGTTTTCAAAATTTTACCTGAATGGTTCGTGATTCCTTATATATGCAGTGTTGGCAGCAATGTGGCGACGACTACGCTGAAACTTTGCATATCTCGTGTCCCCATGACTGGTCTGTTTCATATATCAAACCTCACCTCGCACGGGTTTGAACCTCCTTTAAAAAAAAAAACAGGCAGACTTATACTTATCATATCAAAGTAATACGAGGAACTTATATTTTATGCCAAAACTTATTTCATCACCTCCAAAGGGGAGTAGGGGTTTCTAAAGTATGGTAGGTACATCTCTTTCATTTTTTAATTAAAAAAGTGACACAATTACGCGACGTAACTCGATCCGGATCGTTAACGCGTCTCAAGATGGGGGTTTAGAGATGCTGAGGTCATTAAATTGATTCACTAATACCAGTACACATTGAAACCCCTTATTTCCAAAATAAAAAATTGTTAACTGTTAACACAACAAAAAAAACTATTTCCTCACCAATTATATTTCTGGGTCGTTTTCAGAATTTGTCCAACGTAGAATCCCAAGAGGATAGGGCCGCAATTTCGAAAAATGTTCATGTCTCCCCACTATGCATTTGTACAAGAAGCAGGGCTGGATTAACAGCAATTATATTCTTGTCAGTCAACATACAGCCACCGATTGAATTCTCGGATTCTGCTTTACTAGTTGCCATGGTCTGTCAAATATGTTACTTAAAAATTGTATATTTTTTTTTTACAAATAATATACCTTTCCTAAAATAATTCCGCCTTTGTCAAGTTGGACACGGGCACGTCTGTCCGCTTTGAAAAGCGCAGGGGTATGTATCTTCCAAAATGATCCAAGCAGGCTCGGATTGCCAGCAAATACACAACTCGCCGATTCAATTCTGAGATGTTGCTTCACGAGTCACCATGATCTGTCAAATATTTCAATTAAAAAAAAATCTATTATTTAGCAACAATATACCATTTTAAAAATAATTTCGTCTTTTTTCAAGTTCAACAGGACACGTGTGTTCGTTTCAGTTGGACAAGGGCACGTCTGTCCGCTTTGAAAAGCGCGGCGTATGTATCTTCCAAAATGATCCAAATTGTTAACCTTTTTTTGATTCCTCGTTCCCCGATTCAATTCTGAGATGTTGCTTCACGAGTTACCATGATCTGTCAAATATTTTAATTAAAAAAAATCTATTATTTAGCAACAATATACCTTTTTAAAAATAATTTCGTTTTTTTCAAGTTCAACAGGACACGTGTGTTCGTTTCGAAAGGTTTCGTAGTCTGTAGCTCTGTCGAATTCTCCAAAATTCGTTAAACCTTCAGATATTTTCAAAATTTGTCCAACGCAGACTTCCACTCACGCAGTTTCGAAAACTTTCTGGTCTCCCCGCCATGCATTTGTACACGAAGCCGTTCTGGACTATCAGCAAACCGCACATCCGTCATTTTTCTTCTCGGATTCCGCTTGACGAGTTACATCGATCTGTCAAATATTTAATGTAAAACAATCTTATCTATTACTTTTACAAAATATTAAGTACCTATTCAAAATTAGTAGCGCCTTTTCGAGTTCGAAAGGTTTCGTAGCCTATAGCCCTGCCGAAATGGCATTGCATTTGTACACGAAGCAGGGTCGGATTGTAAGCAAACAGCACCCCCGGTCACTTTTCTTCTCGGATTCTGCTTGACGAGTTACATCGATCTGTGGAATATTTAGCGAAAAAAAAAATTATCTATTACTTTTACCAAAAATGAAGTACCTTTTTTCTTTAAAACAGTTCGTCCTTTTCGAGTTTGAAAGGTTTCGTAGCCTATAGCCCTGCCGAAATGTCATTGCATTTGTACACGAAGCAGGGTCGGATTGTCAGCAAACACCACAAGCGTCACTTTTCTTCTCGGTTTCTGCTTGACGAATTACATCGATCGGTCAAATATTTAATATAAAAAATATCTATTTTACCAAAAATACGTACTCTTCTAAGATAAATTAGCTCTTTTCGAGTTTAAGAGGACGCGTATGTCAACTGTAGGATGTTTTATTATTATATTTTCCAGTGTCTATAAATTAATAAACAACAGAAGCTTCCGAATACAAAAATTTCAACATGAGTTTTTTTTTCTTGAAACTTAAAAGTTCTAACCCCTAAAACCATATTTTTAATACGCTGGCGGACGTATAACAATCCCCAAAAATTACCATATTTAAATTGTTACTATTGACATATTTCTATTCCGAACTTAACTCAATACATGCAAAAAAAAAACTAGCGAATGTTATTTATTATCTCCGATGGGTGGATGATTGAGAAACGTTTAAATAAATCTACCTTTCTGTCTCTCTTTTTCTATATAGGTCACTCATTCTCTCTATCTGTTACTTTCCACAATCCGAATTTACACTTGGCCCCCCAAAAATCTTGTAAAATTTTATCTGCTTAACTTCTTCGCGTTGTTCATATGGCTGAATTTTTTGGGAGATATATCGTGCGTTATTTCTATTAAAATTCTGTTTCCTTTTTACCTACTTCAAAAACGTAAGCGAGCATTTTTGGTTGTTTTATTAAACAAAAATTGATACTAAACAAGATCCGTATCTCCGACCTCAGCCTCCTTTGATCACTCCCCAATTTTTTTTAATTAAGTATAGAAACCTCGTCGAACATATACATAATACTAGGTCAAAATGTTACGCGGTTACTCATTAAAGTCGCAATTCCGAAAGCTTCTTACCTATCTTTTTCCAGTCTTTTTTGTTTTATTTATCCGTATATGAAACACACATTGAACACAAAACTTAAACTCGTTGGCGATATTGCATTAAGCAACAAACGCGTATAACAGAAACGAACCCTTAACACAAACGCTTCTTTAAACTTCGACTGACACGTGAAACAACCCGCATTCCTACGAAAGGCAGGTAAACCAAGCAGGTCAAATTTTAAGCTACCCTCCAGTGTCGTCGTAGGTTGGGGCATAGTAAATAGCGAATACAACAAAGCGGTAATTTATAATAATTTAATTTGCATTTTATTTAACTTAAGTTGTTTTGTAGAAAATGAGACATTCCTACAATTAATCAATATACTACGAGTACTTTTCCGCTTAATTACTATTTTTGAGAAACAAAAGGAAACGTTAGAATCCATTCAAACTTTTTCGGTTTTCATGATATCTCGCGTTTATTTAGAAGCTTATGGACTGTGGCCTTAACCAGACGTTTCCAAAGCCTGGTTTGATGTTATGTATATAAATCTTAACAAACACGAAAAATAGAGTTATATTGGCCACCGAAAATCTGAATTTATGTTTAAAAATGTAACTTCCCGTATTTAAACTATTGCCTGCATCGGCGCCTATATTTTATAGTTTTTTTTTTGTATCCTATTTTTTTTGTTTTGCTTGCAAATGTGTGTCCATTTTTCGGGTACTGAATTTTTTTTTCTCAAATTATTACAAATTACTCAAAACGGAGTTAAAAAGAGACGAGGAGAAAAGGGAAGAACCCTTATTTCTCCGACACTGACCTCCGATGTTTATAAAAATTGACGCCTTGACACCCTCCCCGTGAATATTTTACAAAGGATTTTTAAAATTTAACTTCCAAATAAGGCATACTCTCGCCTAGTGTCACAGTTTTGGGCCCCATTTTGCTATGGTTAGACAGGTTTATTCTTGTACATTGTCGGGACAAAAGAAGCATCTCCTTCATCCAAATTGACTTTTTCATACCTAATATAACAGCTGCCGGGCATCATCTCGCCTTAATTGTTTCTATTGAATTAATTTTAGTTACAAAAAATTAGATGATCGTCAAAATTGGCATAAAAAGATAATCAAGATTTAATTAAAACAAGAATATGCACAAAAGAAAAGAGATAAACTCAGACACGGGAAACAAGGAAATATCGCTGAAACGGCAACTGATCTAGCGCGCGCCTTTTTTAAAAATAATAATTTTTCAAAAGAATTCTAGGCTAAGCTAAATACCTGGTGCAACAAAATATTGAAGGATCTTCATGATCCTACCTGTGAGCGAGTAGAAAATTATTTGCAAAGAGGATAAAGGTATATCTTAATATAAATAGTTTCACTATTGATAATATGTCCCCTTTTAAAATGGCGCATTATTTGATACGTACTTTTTTCTTGTCAGAGCTTGTCTAAAAAAAAAAAATCGGGATGGATGGAGGTTCTCCGTCAGGTTTTTTTTCTGTCGAAACAAGTATGTGCGGCGTTCGCTTTGGATCTGGGGAATGGGTGGGGTTATACATATATAAGCTATAAGAAATTTTAATTTTTTATTCAGTTTCCACTCATACAATTTCGTGATAAGTGCAGAGTGAGAAAAATGTCCGAAGTCAAAATTATCCAACGCAAGCATTGGATTCGTGGGGAAGATTTGTGGTCAATGCGGAAATAATCCGCGAACAAAAATACATTTACGAGGCAGCAATTACGCTGCCGGAATTCGGACTAGAAATTACCTCAGGTCTTAGCCCAGCAAGAATCTTCGCTCCGGCAGTGAAAGTGAGCTTTATCCCCTACGTTTTGGCGGAGAAAGAATTAATTTCATAGCTTTTGTCAAAAACCGATTTTGTGCGACTTATGCTCACTGCATCGCCAGCTTTGAACTTTGACTTTTGCACTGCAAATTTTTTTTTGGTAAATTATATGCGAGAATCTCCGTTGTTGGGGTAATTTCTGATGGTTTCATTCCGGTGGTACTATGTTTTTTTTGGTTATATTTTGTTGTTTTTTTTTTCTTTAATAAAGTTATTTTACGCAATTACTTGTTTTTTTTTTTACTTTTTTTATGGGGGTAAGGATAAAACATACACACACATTGAATTTTAAAAATATATTTATTATTATTAGTTTACAGGTAAATTTCTATTAAAACACAGGTATGTCCCATGCTATCCTTTTGTTGATATCTTGTTTTATCTGCATTTTTCCAAAACGCATGTAGTCCTCCATGCAGTAGCTCTGCTCACTCTCTTCTGTAGAACATAAATATTCAATATGCGGAAAGATTTTGGCGTCTTCCAGTAAATTTTCATGTATAGTCAAATACAATATTCTATCGTAGTACTCGTAAAAGTTCAAACGAGACAGTATTCGTATTCTTTTAAATACCAATTTGCTTATGGTAATTAATTCCTGTACCCAGTCTTTCGAAATATAGAGTATACCCTCGCTATTTTCAATCTTGACCAAGACTTCACCATCACATTGTAGACAGCTGAGTTTGAAGCAGGTTAAATACATAACTTTACCAGTCGGGCCTACTAACAATAACAATGGAAGCTGTTGTATTAATTCTGTGAAGTCTATCTCGTCGAACGAAATGCTTCTTTTCTCCGCCAAAACGTAGGGGATAAAGCTCACTTTCACTGCCGGAGCGAAGATTCTTGCTGGGCTAAGACCTGAGGTAATTTCTAGTCCGAATTCCGGCAGCGTAATTGCTGCCTCGTAAATGTATTTTTGTTCGCGGATTATTTCCGTATTGACCGCAAATCTTCCCCACGAATCCAATGCTTGCGTTGGATAATTTTCGACTTCGGACATTTTTCTCACTCTGCACTTATCACGAAATTGTATGAGTGGAAACTGAATAAAAAATTAAAA